ATAGTACTTTGAGACCCACTGTCAATCAAAGCCCTTAATTTTTCATAGCCTCCATTTTTTGATTTGACCTCAATTATGGCTGTGGCTAATAATACGTTCTCCGTTGTCCTGCATGTGTTCACTTTTTCTGGAACTTTAACATGAAGTAAAGTATGGTGAGGTTTGTTGCAAGTCAAGCAAAGCTGCTCGCTTGTGCATCTCTTAAAACTCTTATGTTTTAAACATTTTGTACAAATTTGATTTTTTCTTGCCCAGTCAGTTCTCTCTGCTGGGTTCATTCTTTTAAATTTGAAGCACTGGACTAAATAATGTCCCGGTAATTTACAACACGCACAATTTTCGCTGTTATTATTCTGCGTTGTATTTACCACTTTCTTTACAGGTTTCTCTCCCTGTGACAATGATGATATGGAATTGAGCCTTTGCTCTAAAAATTCCATCACATCCGAAAGCGCTTGGATTTCTTTTGTCTTTTTGACATGACTTTCATATAAATTTAATGATTCTTTATTAAATTTCCGAAGGATTATGTGGGCGAAAATGGCATCCACCTCTTCGGACAATTGTGCCTTCAATTTCATAATATATATTGACTCATTAATTGAGTCAATGAACTTTTTAATCTGCCTATCCGATTCTAAATTTAAATTGGGCATATCCAAAAGCCTATTCATATGTTCCGAGAATATCTTTCTTTTATTCTCGAAACGCTTGGTTAAAAATTGCCAAGTGGCTTCATAATTTTCGCCCCCGCCTAACAATAAATGAGTGACAACACTCCTGGCTTCACCTTTTAAGGCTGACTTTAAATAATTAAATTTAAGAGATGGACTTAAATCCTCTCTTGAGTGGATTAGCTCTGTGAAAAGTTCGTAAAACAGATCCCACTCTTTGGAATCACCAAAAAATGTGGGAATCTGTATTTTAGGCAGGGTTGGTAATTCCTCTGCCTTCACCACCATCGACACGTCAGCATGCCTATTGACTACGCTGGATCGATTTTTAATGGCCGTTAGTATATTTTGCGTATCAAACTCGATATCGCTTATTATGTCGTCAAACACAGAACTCTCGAAATAGGTATTACCCTGTTCAATTAGGTTCTGTATCTTACTCCATAGAAACTCAATTTTGTTTTTCCTTATCGTAAGGAAATCTGGACTATTGTCTATGAGAGTAGACGTCTCATCTAAGTATGCTTTCAAAATGCCTACCTGACTTCGAAATGTCTGCTCTATCCTGGACGCGTTTGAAGTGCCTGGCAACTCGATCTCTATTTCCATATTTTTGGTCTTTGAAACGTTTGCCGTGGGAATAACCTGTCCCTCTGGCTTATTAGTCTGAGACTCTTTTTCAACCCTTAATTTTATCTGAGCCAACACCATCATAATGATATCATACTGCTTGGTATTAAAATACTCATGATCGACAACGCCGATCTTTAAAAGGGCAGTATGGTTAGTAATAAAGAGTTTTTGAAGCTCTTCTAATCGTCCTACGTCTAGCTCTGTTAGCCCTATTTTTGCCTCTAAACGTCTTATTTCCAAAATAATCCCGGACTGCTTCTTTAGCAAATCTATAGTTTTTTCCGAAATCATTATTATTATTTTCTTAGGGATATATGTATATGTAAAAAAAAAAAAAAAAATTTTATTGTGACTTAGCTGCTTCCGTTGCCGTCGCCAGAGTAGTCGTTTTTTGCTGTTGCTGCTAAGGTCGCCGCCGCTTGTCCAGTCGCCGCTCTTCGTTGCAGCGATATTTTTTGTTGCTGTTGTTGCTGCTGAAGTCGCCGCCGCTTGTCCTGTCGCCGCTCTGTCCTTGCAGTGGTATCTTTATTTGCTGTTGTTGCTGCTGAAGTCGCCGCTGCTTGTCCTGTTACCGCTCTGTCGTTGCAGCTGAAGGTGCTGCGTCGCTGGTTTTTTTTTTTTTTTTTTCTTTTTCCTTTCGTTTAAATGCTTAATTGCATTTATTTCCCGCACAATGTCGCTGATGTTTAAGGGCCTCAAGCACGCCTTACACGACACTGTTAATTTTTTAAGCTACCTTTAGTTTATTTCTACCAGAAGGTGCTTTTTTGTTATATGTATCTCTGTTCCTTACCTCGGGTGGGGGGTAACAAGAGATTTTTTTTTTATTTTCGCTACCTTAAGCTGCGTGTGTCTAGCACTACATACAGACTTTCAGGTGCTGGTTGATCACTCTGAACCTCTTACCACAGGGGGGAAAGTTGCAGAGTTTCGAAGGATCAAAATGATCGGCTCGATTGACCAAAATGAAAGAACGTCCGAATAAACACGTCTTTCTTTGTTGAGTTGATATTTCAAACTGATTTTATTTAAGAATATGTTCTACTTAAATAGCTAACATGAGATTTACAACTATTCTTATCTTTAAGGGCGATAGAGGAGATAGCAATTACTCCGATCGCACTTATCCCTAAACATGTGGTGACCACTCGCAGGGGGTCATTTTACAACCTTTTTATCTCGTTGTTTTAGGTATGCACACATGTGATGCATTTGGTGCGGCTACAATTCCGCTACCTAAATATACATTTGTATATATGCGTGTTCATGTTTGAACAGTCAGTCCCGAAAATAAAAGCTATTCAATAAGAAAGCAAGTGACACCCCTGTAATTGGAATTGTTTAAATGCTTGACTCTTTAGGCTATTAAATTATAACTGTGGCTTCTATCATAAATCCAACTGTTACCCCACTCAAACAAATGACACCTTTCAAAAGTAATTGTAAAGGCAATTGACCCTTTCAATAATCATAATTTCCTGCTAGCAGTGAACATGATTCACATTACTGCTGCAGCTGCAGTCGAACAAGACTAGGCTCTAAACCCCACTTAATCAACACCCCAAATGGGTCAAATCAATAAAGAATAACATAAAATGTTCACACAACGGGCGAATAACTCACAGACGAAAGCGGGACAGAGCAGCCATTTGAACTCCCTTCTCCTGTACAATTTATGCAAATTTATATACGTACATAATACCCATTTATTTACGCTGCCGTAAGAAGCGATTATTGACAACGGCATTTTAATGGCTGGAAAAAAATCATAAATAAATAAAAATACTTTGGCGTGCCAGCCAGTGCAAAGAAACTGAAATTATAAGTACCTGAGCATAATTTCACCGCGCCAACAAGAAATGTCCAAAAGAACAAAAAGTTCATAATTGAAATTCATGTTTGTGGTTCTGGTGGCTGTCACACAATTACCGTTCTGCTGGTGGTGGTGGTGCCCCAAAGTCCAATCGAAGCCACTTAAAGATTCCGCGAGGCTCCCAGAAGGCAACGCTCCACGCATTCTTATGAGGTCATTTGCGTGGGGAGCCCACTAAATGCGCCCTAGCTCCCAACTAACTAACCCACTCCACGAAAAACTCGACGAAAACCCCACTCAGAACCCAGAACATTTGCCAAGTGGAAAACGCGGTTCGTGGAAAGCCACAACTCCACACTTCGCGGCGGAAAATGGCAGCTCCATCCATACATTACTCATACGACCCGCAATGAAACACAAAAATCTATTAAAATTATCACACGCCATGTTGACCTCAGCGGCGAGCAAACATTACTCAAAACCCAAAACTCAAAAAACCAAAAAAAAAAAAAAAAAACAACAGAAACAGAAATAGTACCGTGTGGGTCTGGCAAAAATCCATAGCCCGAAAAAAGGAAAGAAAATAAAGCGACCGCAGCCAATAAAATGAAAAATGCTGGCGCAAAAATATTGCAGCTAAAATAATTTGCCACGCTCGTAAATTTTCAGCTCATAAAACAGAAACGAGGCAACATTTGTTGTCGGAGTTTCGAAGTTTGTTCGAGCGAGTGAGTCAGTGTCGGGCATTTCTCGAATTTGAGTCAGATTTTCGATGGTCTCTGCTATTTTTTATAGCAAGCCTTCGCCGATCGACAGTTTGTTTGATATATGGGCCCTTGGCCCCCTCATTTGCATGTGAAAAGCCTGGCTTGTTTGGGTATAAAAAATTTCACTAATTTGCCAAACGATTATTATGTTTGCCTAAACCACCTTAAGTGTTGCCATAAATTAGCCATTCTCTGTTCTCTAAAAATTAAATAAAACAAAAGGCAATCAACCTGAAAAAAAACAAGGGAAAAGTTTCAAGTAACTAAACGTAAACATAAAACCCGAGAAAATTCCATAAAATAGCGGTGGAGAGGAAGTAAACTTGATGTGTAAATCATCTCCAGAATTAGCAATTTGTAGGCCTCCAGTCCGCAAACAAAAATAAAAGAAGAATCTTAGCATAACAAAAGCCTCGAATTTAGCGCGTTTCTATTTGTTCTCGTTTGCGCAGCTCGCGAAGAGATATTCAAATTCGACAAATACCCCACTCAAAACGAATGACTTAGACAACGAACTTGCATTCCCCTAAAAGCGCATGAGCATTAAGATCCCGAGCCGGGCAATAAAAATAAAAATCCAAATCAAAATCGAAATAAAAATAAAAGTCAGACGACAAATCTACAAACAACAAATTTCGGTGCCGAGCAAAACGAAATTGAAGCGAAGAATGCAATAAAAATAAAGCCAGAGAAAAGAAATGAACGTAAAGATAAGACGCCAGTGATTCGGACAGGGGGCAGTGGATTCGAGATTGCTGAAGTGGCAGCCCAAAGTGTTGCAGGGCGATAAAAATTTAATCAAAATTTATGGGAGGGAAGCGACGCAGATAGAGAAAGAAGCTTTGCAGCTCTGATTGCCCAATGGGCCATATAACACACGAGTGGCTAACGCTATCCACTTAAGCAACACCCAGGGAAAAAGTCTATAACATTTAAAAATTGGTTGGAATTAAATTTAAATTGTTTATATTTAAATAATTACAACTCAATGTATAAGCTTTTGCTGATATTGCACCTTTTTTTGATTTACTAATAGTACTCGTATAAATAATTTTTCTCAGTGTACTTGCTTCTATTGCTCACAAGTTTTCTCTGCGTTCCTTCGTTTTCCAGTCCCCGGAACTTGACTATCGGCACGAGCTGATGGGACGTCTGCATAAAATCGAGCCCGCCGATGTTGAGCTTGAGGTTCTGGCAGCCGCCGCAGCAGCTGCCAACAACAACAGCAGCAACAACAACAACAACAGCAACAATAGCAGCAGCAACAACAGCAATGGCAGCCAAACACCCACCGGCAACAACAACAACAGCTTGACGGCCTCCGGGCATCAGCAACATCAGTTCCACCACCACCTGCACCACCACCACTCGCATCAGCACCACCACCAGCACCACCACTTGCACCAGCACCACTCGCACAGCCTGCAGAGCGGCGAAAGCGGAGCGTCGGAGGCATGGCCCCACCTCTCCGCCCCCTCGTACGCCGGCGATGTTTCGCAGCATCCGCAGCAGCAGCAACTCCAGCCCGCCGGATCCCCGAACTCCAACTCGAACGGAGCCTACGGCTGTGCGCCGCTCTACGACGGAGCGCCCTACGACGTGGCTCTGGGCTACGTTGGTGGTGCGGTGGTGGCGGCGACGGGCGGAGCCACTTCCAGCGACAAGGAGTATCTGTATGGTGGGTATTTTTCGGGGGCAGAGGGAGTGGGAACTTTGATGGGCACACAAAATTACACGCATGGTGAAATCTCACAAGTCAATAGCAAAGCAGAGAAAAACAAGCGATGGCAGCGTGTTTGCAGCTCGGTGCCGAAATGTGAAATCTGAAACCGCCAAAAAAAAAAGACACAGACAAGCGGGAGACCCTTCTCACAAGAGTGATTGGGGTCTCCGCAAACTGGCAATAAGCTGATGATAAATTTACAAAAGTTATAAAACAACTTGTTGAAAATATTAGCTTAACATTTTATCCGACCTTTTAACTCCCAAGTCCTTTGAAGACCAAAGTACATTTACATAACAGCTTTTTCTATGTCATTAGTAGGTTCTTAAATGTTCTGTTTTCAACCCAACATGGTTGGGAGTTTCCCTCAAATCAATCAGTGAACCAAAGCCTATCAATAAACACCTCGACCCGAGACGAAAAGTTTCAATTCTGATTGTGGGCCCCCGTTAAATAGCATCTCTAAAAATAGTCAAACAAATGAGCAGCTGTTTAGAAATTTCATGCATATGCGAGATTTCATTGTGTACATTAATAATTCCCCATGCCGGCGATTTGCATAAAGAGTTAGCAGGCGATTATAAGGCGCTTTTCTGTCCGTTTTGATTGCACAGAAACCAAAAACAAAGAGGCTCTCTACGCCGATCCGCTGGACGATCCCTACCAGCGACCCGTGCTCTGGGACGATATCACTACCTCAATCCAAAATATCGATCCGGAGAACGCGCTCATGCTGAGCAGCAACAACAACAACGGTGGCACCAGCAACAGCAACAACAATGGCGGAAACGGCAGCAGCAACACCGGCGAACCTGCAACGTCGCAGCTGCCGCAGGTCAAGATGGAGGCGATCGACGAGAGTTTGCTGGAGACTTTCTCGACCCCAATGCTCAGTCCCCTGGAGATAAAGACGGAGAAGCAGCAGCGACATCAGCATCAGCAGCAGCAACAGCAGCAGCAGCAGCAGCAACACCAGCAGCAACATCAGCAGCAGTACCAGCAGCAACACTATCAGCAACATTATCAGCAGCAGCAGCACTTGTACCAGCATCATCCCAGCCTGGCGCTGGCCAACCTGCCACCCGCTGTCGAGGTGGCGGAGTTGCAACTGCAGCAGCAGCAGCAGCAGCAGAATCAGCAGCAGCAACATCTGCAGCACAGCAGCAGCAGCAGCAGTAGCAGCCCCAAGCTGGCGACCCCCGGCGACAGTGGCAGCAACACCTCCTCCTATCAGCAACAGTACGCATCTCAATTGGTCGCCGGATCGGGCGGCGGCTATCTGAACGGTAGCAGCAGCAACTCCTACGGCTACAGCTGGCACAGCAGTCAGGTGAGTGGCATACACTGGCAGAAAAGTCCTAACGAAACATAGATTAAATGCCTTTCCATCAAACTAATTTGTGTTACTTTTCCTAACTATTCCTTTGAATAGTTTGAACTTGCACTATAAAACCTTGCGAAAGTTTTTTTCAAAGTGTTCTTCCCCTTTTCAACCCGCAGACTTTCCACACCAAATACCAAATACACCCGCCATCAGCCGCAGCTTCAGCCTCCGCCTCCGCTACTGCCACGCCCTCAGCTCAACTTGGTGCTCAACAGCAACAGCAACAACAGCAGCAGCAGCAGCAACTGCAGCAGCTCTGCCCCCCCGCGGCACCCAGCACCCCCTCCGCCTCGTCCTCGTCCATCTCCTCGTCCTCCGCCTCCTCCGCCAGTCGCCATATGTTCGTGCCACCTTTGACCCCGCCGAGTTCGGATCCCGGATCTCCTGGCAGCTCGATGGTGGCGGCAGCAGCAGCCGCAGCTGCCCAACGCCGCGCCACCCCACCGCCGCCCTACCAGCAAGGTCACGTGCTGGGGCTGATCAACCCGCCGCCCACGCTGCAGCTCTTGGGTGGGGCAGTCACGGGGAGCAGCGGCAGCTGCACCACCACCACGCTCACCACCCTAACGCCCGCCAGTGCCATTCAGCAGCAGCAGCAGCAGCTGCAGCAGCAACAATCGCAGCAGCAACAGGTGCCCCAGCAGCAGCCACCGCCCACCCCCCGCTCTTCGGGGGGCGGGAGGCGTGGCCGACACTCGCACCACCAGCCGGGAACGGCCGCCCACATCGCCAGCTTGATGAGCGTGCGAACGGTGCGCTACAACCGCCGCAACAATCCCGAGCTGGAAAAGCGACGCATCCACCACTGTGATTTTGTGGGTGAGTATTTATACTTTTATAAAAATATTCAAGCCTTAAAATATAGTAGCTCCTAACTAAATTCAATTAAAGCTTTTCATATCATTAGAAGCACCTTATTTCACATCGTTTAAACACAGATCAAAATAACCCTTAAAAAGTCTAGAAACTGTGTAAGCTTATTAAAGGATAAAATCTGAACGGAGATTTAATATAGACTTTACTATTAAGAGAGTTATATTTAAACAGAAAAGTGGTAAAACTAAAAATTACGAGTATATATACATATATATATAGATTTAGAAATAGAAAATCGTACATACCTCTGGCTCCGAAGATCCTATCCCACCGAGATCTCTATGGATGCGCTTCCTCATCCCTCTTTGTAAATCACTGCATGTCTCCTTCTCGTTTATCACTTGGCGCGTTTTGCGACACTTTTCGTAACAAAGTCACCTTCCGCCCCGTTTTCCACCCGCTTTCGGCCAGCAACTCCGCTCCACGTGCGATCCTCATTGCGCATGCGTGCCGCGTTTTTCCAATCGGCATTTATTTATTCTCTATTTATCTATACATTTATTTATTATCTTTCTGTTTTCTGTTTGCTCGCTGTGCGACTGACAGTTCCCGCTGCCGCTGCCACTGGCGAGTTTCTGGTGTCGCAGTCGCTGTTGTGGCGCTTTTCAATTGCCTTCTTTGTAATTCTAATTAGCCATTTGCCGTATTTATGTAAGAGCTTCGAGCCACCTTCCACTTCCCTGGGCTTTTGTTACAGTTGCATGCTTTTTTAGCCTGGCCAAGTGCGTTTTCAATGTCAGAGGTGGGCGAGAGTCAGCCAGCTCGTTGAGTCAGCGGTGATCGATGGGAAAATATGACAGGTTGTGCTGAAAGGAATTTCAAATTAATACATTACAATTTTATTCTTAGTCATGGAAATTAATACTACGTAACCATTGCTTCGAACAAGAAAAAGGTTTACAATTTATTTTGGTGATTTAGCCTGGGATTTAATCAACTTAATATCTCCCAACAAATTAGACAAGATTCCTTAGTGCTTGGCTTTTGCCATTATTTGCGAGTAGCATTATCTCGGCGAAATCGAAGATGAGGTCACACCGCATCACCCACAGAACGGCTTGAAGTACTATCCATTAGCTATCGATGGATCACCATTACGGGCCGAAAAGCACTTAAGGCAACGCTGTCCGACTCAATCTGAAAATCCAACTCCCAACCAGACGCATTCCGTCCGTGTCCCAATGTCGCTTGTTCGAAACCGACTACGTGCGTTGCCACTAATAAATAATTGACAATTGTCTGACACGTTGGCCATGGCCATTTTGAGGCAACTCCGGCCGAAACGCTGTCCAAATGAAGTTATTATGCCATAAGCGCACGCATCAGACACAAAAGTTGGCAGTGAGTTATGTCTGGACTGGCGGAGTTCCTCCGATTCGGCAGCGCGTATGGCTTGGTATCTCTAACTGTCTAACTGTCGACGATCGTTGCAAGTTGCGAGTCGCAGGTTGCAGGTTGCAGATTGCTGCTTGCTGGTTGCTAGTTGCTGGTTACCCGTTGCAAGTCGATGGTTGTCAGCAACATTCTTCGCTGGCAGCGGGGCATTGTGTTTCGTGGCACGTTTAAAGGCAGCTTTCAATTAGAGCCGTACGTGCGGGGATCCCCGGGAAATCCTTTTCGGGAAAGGGGCACTAAAATGCCTCATAAATGTCACTCGCTCTGCGGTGTTGCAAGCTGTGGCCTACAGCTCGCAAGTTGCAAGTTGCAAGCTGCAAGTGAATCTCGTGCAACTTTCACCCGCTAATTAAAGGCCCACGCCCACTGACCCACTTCTTGGGAATGGCTCTTCTATCGGGATCCAAGATCCGAGGCTCCTCTAATGTGGTGTGCCGCACATCTGATATTGTTTTGCGAAACGCGAAGAGCTAGCAGGCACACTTGAAAATATTATAGCCTTCAGGTAGTTGCAGCTATAAACTATTATTGGCAGTAAATTCAGTTTAGTAAGTGTTTTCAACCCAAGGAGGATATCAATTATAATGATGAAAATGCCTGTATTTATTTAAGAGCGGATTCTCAGGCGCCAAGTAATTAACTTTGGTTCAGTAATGAAATTAATGGCTCAACCGTTTGAAATTTAATACGATGTTTACTTTACCTATTTGTAAAATTATTATTTATAGAAAAGGAGGGTAAGAGAGAAAGGCCTTAATGGTCATCTGTGCCAGTTATATTTTAAGTAATACGTGGTATTTATATAATGTAAATGCTTTAACGATTCCTTTCATTTTGTTGCAGGTTGTTCTAAGGTGTACACGAAGAGCTCGCATCTGAAGGCCCACCAAAGGATACACACGGGTGAGTTTTCCCCCCACCTAACTGCCCACTAAAGACCCAACCACCCACTCGATGACCCCGTATTTGACCCGCTGTCGCAGAGTGGTCCACTGCAATCCCTCAGCTCGCATGTGGGCCCCACTGCACCACTGAACCTCCGATGAGCCACCGGCGAACAGCTGCACCACTCGGTTGTCGGGTCGTTGGGCAACCGCCGCCTTTTGATTAATTCGCGCGCTCATATTTGTAGTTGCCAGCACATAATTTGCCAAGGCCCAGAGAGCTTCGAGCGCCTTTTTTTGAGTGCCATGCACTGCAAAAATATTTAAATGCTCACTCAGTTGATATTAGCCATGAATTGGATTAGCTGAATATGTGTTTAGTTTTTCACTCTTAAACAGTTCTTATGAGAATTCAATCATGAGTTCTTCTCTCCTTTCCGAACCCCGAAAATAAATCAAATTGTTGGAAAGGTACTTTCTAGGCCCCAATTTATTTTCCAACTCGAATCTCATCTCACTGATCTCCAGAATTATTTTCTGTGTGCTGTTCATTTTCAATTTCTGAGGCACGGAGGCAACCGCAGCGAAAATCGTGATTTGTACGGTTTGTTTTTGCGGCTCTGGGTCCGTTTTTTTCTCCCGTTTTTGTGGTCAGTTGCAGTTGCAAGTTGGCAGTTGCAACATCAGCAATCGGCAATCGCCAACGCCATCAGCTGGGCGCACGTTTGGCCTGCATTTCCTCCTTGCTCGGATTACACTTGACGATCCGCTGCCCACCGATCACCGCGATCACCTGTCTTCGTTTTATGGGCCGCACGTTTAATGCCTCCACAAGGAGGAGGCAAAAATAATACTGAGGCGAGACAAAAAATGGCAGAACCCCATCTCTCCGCCGTTTTATTAATCGCACATGACCAGCTGATTTATGCGCAACTTAAAGCGCTGCCTTAAAAACATTTTTATTATTATGATTTTGCGCGCAGCGCTGATTTTCACTCCGCTGATAAAGTTAACGCCCCATCAACGAAAGGTCGGCGGTTGGTTGGGTTAACCCCGACCTCGAATCCCCCGAGTTCCCTTGAGATGGCCGAAAGTTCTCTTGGTCGTTCCGATTTGGAGCAAGCCCACATCACCCCGCTCGGGGCCAACACGAAAATTCCGCGGCGGGCTTATTGGACTTAAGCCGACTTTCGCAATTCCTCGAGTGGCAGGCTGAGATGCAGAAATGCTTTGCTACCGTCTGATGGCTGTCGGTTTGTTTGGCTTTCGAGTTAGTTAGCGTTCCGGCAAGGCCCAGCCCATTCCATTCATAGATTCATTGATTTCCCCCCCCTTTGGCGCAAACACACACACATTTTTCATGCCATTTTTGAGGCGCCACCAGGCTGTTGTCTCCGCTGATTAGCAACGCCGAGTTGAGAATTGGAGATTTCGGGGGGAGGAAAGGGGGGAAGTGGCGAGATTGAGAGATTTCCACCGCAAATATTTGCCAGAGTCATCAGGCTGTCAGCGGTTAGTTCGTTGCTTAAGTCTTTCGTTTGCGAGAAGTGAAGAGATCCATTAGCAGAAGAAAAACTATTGCCCCAGTCTGTTGTCAAATATGAAGAAGATGTTTTTCCTTTCAGACAATTAAATGACCATAAAGTATAGTTCAGAAATTTAGGCATTTAAAAAAGATATTTCCTTTTAATCTGGTATACCCTTTCTTGACTCAAAGTTCGAAGTATTTAAATATGCTGTTTTTTTCACCTCCAACCTTTTTCATTGCCTCATTTCCAACAATCCCCAGTTCTTCTCATCTTCATATCATCGTGAAACCCCAAAGATCGTAAAAACGTCATTTTTATTTGGGCTTTTTGTTTTTATCGGGCTGCGCCGATTAGAAAATCACTAGGTAACTTATCTTTATGCAGGCGGCGAACGCATAAATTTGCCGTATCTCGCAACCAGTCTCTAGCCGGCAGTCCAGTATCCGCAGCCTGGCCCTAGGACTCCGACCGAGATCGGGATTCGGGCTGGAACTGGCTTATTTTGTACTGATTTGTTTGCTAATATGTTCGCGCTGCCATAAATTAGTTTGATTTTATGCCCAGCGACTGGAGGAGGTCTTTTGTGGCGTGGTCCAGCCCGCGGCTCTGGTCTCTAAGCTCCGTAGTTCCAGTCGCCAATGGAGCCTGAATTTATTTGTATTGAGAGACCTTATCGCGGCTGTAAGTAAAATTATGAAGTAATTCCGCTGCGCTTATCGCATTGCGTTCATCGCACATTAGAAAACAACATTTACATAACTTTTGTTTGTTTGCCAGGCGGTTTGTTGTTTGTTTGCGGCAGTGTGGCTGCCGTGATCATTGCCAAATTAAATTCCCACGGCCGGGGAGGTCTTAATGTCCCATTCTGGGCCATGTGACTCACCGCGCTTGGCCATTTTGGAATACGGAGCCCCACGTGGCCATCTAAGCCGCGATCCCCCGATTATGTTCGCATCTCGAGGCACTTAAGTTCATTAAAAGAGATCTAAATAAACCAATAAGTCACGCCACGAGTCGAGGGGCATTGGGTTTCTATCCGAAATCCCCGGCAAAGTGTCAGCTGAGTGCCACTCGAGATCTCTTGGGTTCGAGGGCCCCCAAAATGTCCGAGGAAACCAAACAAAATTTGTGCGTTTGTTCGATGTTCAAAATAATAAATAACAATCACAAGTCTACTCGCTTTGATGTTGGCTGAGATCTCGAGATTGAGATGGCCGATGGGTTCAAGAGGCTGGATGAATGGGGAAAGTTCGGGGAGAAATGTGTTTGTAATTGTTTTAAACATATAATACATTATTTATAATTAAAAAACTTAAATAAAATATTTTAAGCTTGATGGTTACATGTGTCTAAGTCCCTTCGAATGAATCTCTTTCGTCACCAAAATCACAATTCTGCACACCGAAACCAATCCAATTGGAAAACCAATCCAATCCATTCGATTCGCCCCACAAAACCCAGGCAGGCAACCAAAAATGTCAAGTTCGCTCACAAATCTCGGGCCGCAATAATTATTTCATTCGATTTCAATTTAAATTTGAACACGAATGTTTATGTTTATGTATCGAGGGGCATTCGGAGGGTCTGAATTAGTCATAGAGCGGTGCCAATAACAAAGAGGTTCGCTCACCGGCCGGTGGAATTTTTCGAATGTCTGTGGCTCGGTAACAAAAATGGTAATAGAAATCACAAGGTACAAACCACAAAATACACAACATGAAAACTTGTGTAGCAAACTACTGCAGCTGCTGTTCTCTTGTTGTCATTTTGCTTTGGCCATAACAATGAAGTATCAATTATTTCCACATGTTTCCATATCGCTTCGATTTCTTGATCTCTCAAAGGAGTTTCTACTCGACTTGCGAGTATTTATTGTGATTTCCCCTTAAAGCACTCGGAAAAAACTTATAGAACTAATGTTAAATCATATCTCTTGATTTTTGCAGGTGAGAAGCCGTACACGTGCCAGTGGCCCGAGTGCGAGTGGAGGTTCGCCAGGTCGGACGAGCTGACCAGGCACTACCGGAAGCACACGGGCGCCAAGCCCTTCAAGTGCATCGTGTGCGAGAGGAGCTTCGCCAGGAGCGACCACCTGGCGCTGCACATGAAGCGCCACTTGCCCAAGAACAAATGAGGAAGGCGGGGGGCCGCGAGCCCAGCCACCAACACAACTATACCACAATCCAAAGGACTTTAGCGTAGATAAAAGAATTCGTTTAGTTGAAAGGTTAACTACTACTCTAGGAACAGCTAACCCAGTACACCCTAAGCGAGCCAATAAACTCGAAGGCGAAGTAGGCTAAGTAAATGAAATTACCACCTGCTTGACGGACGGACATCCTTACTGTACTGTACCGCACCGTACTGTACCGACTAACCCGCACCCCAACCCCAACCCCAAGGCAAAGACAAACACCTTCAGCAGCACGACCACAAATTGAACTAGGCTAGAGTAGGATTACGCTAACATGTATAAACTTACTTCATTACAAGACACTAGCTGTACAATAGACGTTTAATCGAATTCGGAGCTAGGTGGGTTATGTTAAGTAGCCGTAGTCCATGTATTCTGTATGTATACCGCTATCGCATGTATCTTAGTGTCGTAATCAGTTTCAAACCACCAAAAAGTGCTGGCACAAAACATCCAATAAATTTACTTGAAAAAGAACAACTTCAATTTAACGCACTCCTCACGGCTTGGCATACTGGTCGGTCCAAGCGCGGGCCACCCGATCGTGCTGGGCGCGATTCGAGATGTAGAGAAGGGCCACCTCGGCCTCCAGGGGATCCTTCGGGTTCGGATCCCCCAGCAGACACACTATCGAGAGGAGCAGCTTGGACACCGACAGGGCCGGCGACCACTCGCTCCGGAGAATGTTCAGGCAGACGTAGCCGTTGGTCGCGATGTTGCAGTGGAAGATCCTGGTCGAAAACTTGATGTACGGTGGGCTGAAGGGGAACTGTGTGGTGAAGAGCAGATCCAGCTTAAATCTACCGCCCGCGTAAGGGGAGTCCGCTGGGCCGGGGATGGTGGCCATCCAGTGGAGCAGGTTGTCGTCCACGACCTCCACCTCGTACCCTTCCATCGGGTTCATGGCGATCTCGGACAGGTCCTTTCGCAGTCTGCGGATGCATATTTGTTCGGATTCGCTGGTTCGCTCTGCACCCGCAGGATGACCTTCTTGCCAAAGTCTTAAGTTGCTGTGTGTGATGCGAATGGATCCAGTTGCTCCTCTTTGTGCAGTTGGCTCAGGAGCAGGAACTACGGCTCCAGCTGGTAGGGAATTCCTCCGTCTTCCACGCCCAGCTCCCCGCCGAGATGACCGCCTCCGAGATCCACCAGCTGGAGGAGTACCACCATATGGAGTGGAGTTTCGCCGCGCTCTGCTCCTCCGGTTCGAATGGGTGGGAGGCGTGTTTCCTGCTGCCGCAACTGTGTTCCGGCGAGCCCGAATCCGCTCGCTACGTCGTGGCGGCATTTTCGTAGAAACAAAATAAGCTCGATAAACCGGACGACGTACTTTTATTATTTTTGAGACACCTTGTGGCTTGCAAAATATAAACTGAAGTGAAAGCAAATGACAGCCAATTCTAGCCTGCTTTCATCTGTACTTCTCAAACACTTTAAATATTGGTTTCGTAAAATGTAAAATGTGATTTCCCAACATTCAATTTTAAATAAAACAGTTTGCATATTTGAAACATAGACATTTTTGTGCATTTTAAATGTCATTTTATTTTTTATAATATTTTGTTGTATTGGTGCTGCGTGACTGTACTTAGACTAAAAAGCTCATTCTATTAGCAATTCACGGCTTGATTTGTTTGTCGCTTATTTATTGCAACAGGCTGGACTTTAAACAATTATTAACATTTCCCCCATACGTGCCTGGCAAGGCAAACACAAATCATTGAAACTTTTCCCCATTCGACATCTATTCGAAACTCTCCACACGTCACAAAGGCAGTCATAAGTTTTTCTATCGACTAAAAAGACAATAATTTCATTTAGATGAGAATGTAAGCCCGATAAGTGTGACCCCTTGCCGAACGAAGTGTCTTGGAACTCAATTGGGTTTTGTTGTACTCGGCTCGCGATCATTATCACAATATTTTGTACACGAAACAAACATGTCAAGCAAATGTCTTTGCCCCCTTCCCCAGAAACCCGAAAGCGACCCGAATAAATTGTTAAAAATAACAATAATAATTTCAATTGTCTGCCTGCATTTCGGTTCGAACGCGTCATGTTGTTTTGATTGGGGCGATGATAAAACCCATTTCGCTTCTGCCCCTCAAAGAGAGTATTCATTTATAGTGTAGAGTTCAGAAACCAAGCGATATTTTCGGAGAGAACCTGCTTGACTTATCACAAGTTTTCGAAACTTTTAAGGCAATTAATTAGGAGATTATATGATTTGAGGAATGCAGCCAAGAGGGAAAAGAAACTGGTTCTGTGTGGCTCTAAATTCAATTGATTTGTACGTAAAATGTACTCGATTACTATTTCTTTTATAGTATTGTAAACTGTTTTTTTTTATATATAAAATAAGCCAACTCCTATGTAACTTCAGTTGATATTAATTGACTCCGAAAACCTTTTGATTTATTCAGAAACTACAATTTTTCATGGTGTATTACCAATGTTTGTGAGTACGATTATGCCCTTCACGTGGGCGTTGAGACATTGGCATGCCCTCATTCATTCATGCCAGCCTCTCAGCATCCACCGGCACATCCCCAGCCACATCCAGTCGTATCCACAAGCACATTATAGTATCCATCCATCCAGTGCCATTCCAGCACCACTCTTCAATTGTGGTGCGTTGCCGGCTGATTAATCATTTGGCGACTGACAGCTCAACTTTGCGGCCACAACGGGGCAACCCGCTTATTAAATTGGCTTAAGATCGCCGGATAAACCTAAAGTACGTGTAGGAATGGGACCCCACAACTGGATATTATGCATATAGTACGTCGCACAAAGGTTTTGTCTACAGCACCCACTTGGCTGTATGGGATATTGTGCTCGATGGCAACAAAGCCTCGTGAAATTGATTTGATTTCAGCCAGATCGCAGATGTGATAAATCTCTTGATTTCAATTAATTTGTGCGCGAAAAGCGGGGGGAAGTGCACTCATTATGCCAGCTTGGTATATGTGTCAGTCGAGTCAATAATAATATACAGAGAATATGTTTTAATTTGCAGCTAATTAAGCTCTGCTCTCAACTTTGATTGATTCCGGCCGAATCGACAGGGAATTGTGAATAGCGAATAACAAATGAATGGAAATGAATGAGATGTTCAGCGATTCGAAAGGTGATTCAATAATTAACAACTCCACTTCCTTGTGGGTGGAATTCTTATAATAAATTGCAATGCCCTGCCTTTAACCGATGATTTTGTGGCAACTGCGATCACTCTTGATTTTTTACTTAATTATTCGTAATTACACAAGCTAAAACTATTAAATCTTAAAGCTAAATTTCGTTTTTTTAATCGTATTTAATCACCACAACTATATTAACACGTGACTGCCGCACACAATCCATTAAAAATCTACAAGATGTCCCCTTATTTTATGGCTGTTAGTATTTCCTGCTTCCTTTACTAACATCCATTTGGCAACACCTTTTACTTTCGTTTGGGCCACGAGTCCAGCTGCCGCAACACCCACAGTGACTCAAAATCCACATTCAGCTATATACTGCAACTCCTGAGCAGGCTCATCCATTTTAAGCCAGGCCATAACATAAAAGCGCCCATTAGCCAAATGGGGGAGGACCCCCCCGCGGCTTTTCCAGGGGTGCAGAGGGGGATGGGGGGGGCAGCAGACGCCATCACTCGTGCCCGTCTGGTAATCGTGACAGACATTTGGCCAAGAGGCGGGCAGGGGATATGGCCATTCAACATCTACCAGCACACGGTACAAAACACTTCAATTGTAGATACTTAGGTTCAACGAATAATTTAATTGACTAATATTAAGAACTAATGGGTTATTAGAATTTTGAAAAATATACTCTCTCCAAAATTTAAAAGTTTAAATTTAGTTACACAACCGAAAAGATAAATGCCAGTTTTTCCGGCTCTTGATTACAATCGTTTCACTTTGAATTCCGGTTGTTAGGTTAAAGAATTGGCTATTTACATGTTTCTAATGGCTTCCCTTAGCATGAAATTTTTTCTAAGTGCACTTCTGGAACCACCGAAATCGAAAACCGAAAAAACGGAAAACCGCGAAACAGGAACCGCGGCTAACTAGTCTGCGAAGTCGGCCTGCTCTACGATCCACGGCAAAATGGTAAGACGACTGGAGTTTTGGCCAGACGTGCGCCTGCTTTGCATACAACAATATGCGACAAGACAAGACAGCCGAACACAAGACAAGCTGGCTAAAAACGGCGACAACTATAATTAAGCTTAATTGCTGTTTAGTGCGAGCCGGGGCAACTTTTCGCCGTTGTTTCCCCGCAAAAAGTATGGGAAAGAGACAGCCGCCCACGCACCACTTCACGTATAATTAAATTAAATTTATAATGCGAATCTCAACGCGATAAATAAGCCTAACCAGGTGTTTTTCGGGGCGCGAGGGGGTGTGGCTCCAGATATCTGGGTAATTGAAAACCCAAAGCGCACTTATCGCTCACTCTTATTGTTTTTCGTGTGTCGGGGAAATTAATTAGCAATTAAAAATGCAGCACACAGCGGTCGGTGGTTAAACGCTGCAAACCTACAAACAACAATGCCCGGGTCTCTCTAATCTGCTGGAAAATAATTCATATTTATAAATAGACAAACATTATTCAAAGTGTCCGAGCGAGAGCCCGTGGCCCGAGAACCGTAAATTAAATCAAAATCAAAATGAAAACGATATGGTCTTATGCCCAGAATTTATAACGAAAATAAAAGCCAGAACACTGTGAAATCGAAATCACAACTGCGAAGGGGAACAAGGTGGGGATTAACCGACAGAAGGAATGCTCTAATTGGAAATCTTTTCCTAAGTGAAAATTACTCATCGACTTGGGCCATTCCTCTTGCCTGTTTTTAGGCCCCGTAATTAAGGGTCAATAAATCTAGTTTTTGTGAATCTACCCTTAACATTGGTACACCTCCAAGTTAAGACACCCTTAGAGAAGGGTACTCAAAGCCATTTTCTCAGTGTCCGCCCACAAAAACCGTCGTTGTCAGCAGTTGGAAGTTGGGAAGTTGGAGGTTGGGAACTTGGCCGCTGTCCGCTGGTCTTTCTTGTCCGTTTCTGGGCTTTTCAGCCCGGCTTGTGACTCAATGCAGCTGCAGTTGATCGACCGATCGATCGGATCCGTGGCAACTGGAAACAGAAACAGTAAAAACTAAAAACAGAAAACAGAAAACGGCTGCTGCATTTGGCAATGAACTTTTCGCAGCGAAAAAAAGACAAAAGTCTAGACTTTGCTGGAAATGTGCTGGCAAGCTGACTTTGAACTCGGTCAAGTCGAGACACATTTGCAAAACTGTTTGCATATTTAATTGAACACCTACAACAACAATAAATGAGCTGCAGCTGCGGCGAAATCGCTTTTTCGCAATAATAAGCATAAGCATAATAATAATCAGGCGCAAACAGGCTCAATGGGCCAAAAAGTGGCCAACGGGCGAATGAACCAAGTCGTGCTTGGCCAAAACTAATGACCATATTTACCATATTTAGCGCCAAGAGCTGCCAGTCCTATCCTTTGCGGTTGCATAAGTGGCAACCTTGGCGTTTCCAGTGCTGTAGAGTGAGTGGATCTGACACTTGGGCTGACAACCCTATTCATTAACGAAAGGCCTTTTCACACGATCTGACTTTCCATTTTTGCGCTATTAATAGCGTCGTGAGGGGCCTAACCAACCATCTTCTCAAAAACAATTTTGAAACCCCCTTGGATAAGGACTCAGCCCGTGTATGAAGTTAAAACACACAATCCATCAACATAAAAGCTATCCTGGCTCACAAATTCAATGTGCAAAATGTTAGTTAAATTTAGGGTTGGCATTTAGAAAGATTAGTATTAAACTATATATTTTAGCAGCCCGTTTGTTTTTGTAGATTAAAAGCTTTATAATATAATCCTACCCAACACAGCCTTTTTTGTAGAATAAAAGCTTTATAATATAATCCTACCCAACACAGCCTTCTGACTTGCAACACAGATCAATGGCCACCTTACAGTGTTGCAAAGCGATCAATTTCGAGACGAGGCTTTTCGAGGTGAAAAGTTTGTGTTCGTCGAATAAAAATCCGGAATTTAGACAAAAGCAACTCCCGGTTAACTTGGAAGACATGTCCCAAGGAACTAGGCGCAGTGAGCGCATTCGTCGCAACCTCGAAAGGCAGAGAGCTGTGATTCCATATCCGATTCGAGTCAATCCGCCTCGGGTTCTGTTCTTGGTGGACACAAGGGCAGCGCTTCAAGGGGGCTACGGTTGGCCGGCGACCGATATGCTCATACTTTCTTGCCCCGCGGAACTAAATCGCTCAATGTTTTTGCGGCTCGACATGTCCCAACGACAGTACCAGAGATCCGCAATCCAAGCCATCATGTTGACGGGAACCAGGCTTCGCGCACCGTATCCCCAAAGGTTTCGGTACATCTTCGAACCCAGCAGGAGCCTTGAAGCCGCTACATGGAACAGCCTCGTCGACGACGGAACCCTAATGATGGCCCTGATCGTCGACCCTTTCCTGGATTCCTATATGCGCCAAAGCCCCTTTACAGCTATAACCTTGATCATGCGCGTTGTCGATTACTTCCTCTGCTGAAATCGGGACATTAGACAACACCAAAGATAAGCAATAAGTAAGTAATCAGCATTGTGAGAAGTCTCAGGCTTGATTTATAAATTGTTTACCTTACAGGAATTTGTATAATAATAACCAAGTTTACAATCCAATTCAGAAATGTTTAAACAATGTAAGCAGAGCGAAATTGAGTTGCATTCTCCAGATTAATTTATTGTATAAATTGTGAGATATTTCATACATATGTTTATTGACACAACAATTGGTAATACTGGAAATAAACTGACTCACAATTTTTAAGAACTTAAAATTAGTTTGGATTTATTATTGTAAAATCATCTGCTTGTGCAACTCTTCAGAAAATTCCAACTTCTTAAGAGGTTCGTAAGCGATTTGCATCAGCGAGTGCGGTGGCACAATGAGGAATCTCTTCCTGCAGCTGGCGACTTGGACATCACTCTTCATATGTCACGCGGATTGTCGTTTATGAACTACAGATACTCGAAACTTGTCCAGGAATCGGGAGAGCCGAACGATACCCATGGATACTCGATGATTAATTGTGGGGCACGCGACGATGCGATGCCAATCGGCTGCCCCAAGTGACAAAAATCAATGCAACTGCAAATGTGTGAGACGAGCAAGTGTGGCAGAGGAGCCAAAAGGGAGGAAAGTGACAGGAGCCATAAATCTTGGTCGACCCCAGAAGCCGGAGATGTCACGGGGCGACTGGTGCCCACACAGAGTCCCTTATCGGGGGCCAACTATCGGGACTTCTGGGGAATGTACTCGCAATGGTTGGCCGATGGAACGGAAGTTGGTCGCAATCAATCTCAATTAAACTGATAGCTACTGCGCGGAGGAGTCGCCTCATTGGGCTTACTTATTCCTCGAATGGAATGATTGTAGGGTATTTTCATAGGTGGCTCACGGCTCAGTCCTAAAAAATGTTACCAAATAAGATTTTGAAGAAGGGTTCGATAGGAATCCATTTATTATTTTGACTTCCTCTATTTTTACTTATTGTGACCCAAAAACTTTTAATTTATTCCATCCCAAGCCATAACTTAGGCCCAAATGATGGCCAACACCTCTGCCACATTCGAGTGACAATCTAACACTCGCAACTAGCTCTTTAAATTGCGCACATCCGCTACAAAGCTGCAAAGGAGCCGCAATAATTTACAACAATATAGCGCGAATAAACGCGAACAGGGGCGGGGAGAAAGGGGAATATTGGCCATAAACTGAGCCAAGAGCACGCGTAATTTGGCCAAACATTTCCATTTCCATGCAAATGGCAGCCAGCGAGCGGCAAATCAGCGCCCATGAAAGCAATCGCAATTGCGTGTTGCACAATCGTTGTGAGTAAAAAAAAAGAATAAAAACTAAATAAAAAGACGACAGACAACCTGCAGCCTACACAGCCCCGAAGAATCGAGAACCCAGAGCCGAGAGAACATGACATCAAATGGCAAACAAAGACCAATTACATGGAAGAAACAAACTTAAAGACAACGTGAGGAGGTTGACCGAGGGAAGCCGAGTGGGGAAATACCCTTATGAAGTTATGCTAAAAATAATTAATATTACAAATATATTGGAAAACAAAAATAAACTTCATAAAAAAATCTACAAAAAATAGTTATTAAACACAAAATGCTGGAGAGTACCTTAAAGTGCCTAATAAAGTGCTATTGCTTGGAGAAAAAAGTGTCACAAAGAACTCCAAAACACAAGGCACATGGGCGGCCAGGCTAAAAACATTAGCCGAGAAAAAAGAACACAAAAAAAAAAAATAGAAAACCGGGGCCACATTAAAGCCCACGAACTGACTCACCGTGGAAGATGCGTTGGACGTCGGATACCCAGGCGCAGTTACAGTAAAGGCCGACTTTCGAGTCGGCATCGACTGTTGCATGCTAAACGTTGCTAAATTCGAGAGCGACCAACATTTATCACACTACGCCTATCGCGTTTTCCGGCCCCTTTCCGCCGCTAATTAATGATAATGTCAGGAACTAATATTCAGAGGGACCAGGACTCCTCCGCCCGCCAGCCTGCCAGTTTATCATCAGTTAACGTTTTCATTAACCATATGTCACACGCACGTCCCTCGCATTTTCCAACCACCACTCCGTCCCGGGGATCCTTGAAAATTAAATTATGCGCTCGGGTCGCGTGTCCAGCCACGATTTCTGCCCAGGTTGGGATGACTCAAAAAATATAAAAATGCATACATACACTGCACGAATAAAATTGGATAAAAACAAATAGACTATACAGTCAACGATTTTCAATAATAAAATTTAAGTTAGTATCGTATTGGTTTAAATAACTATTTTAGCGGAAACCACACAAACATGAATATATTTCATTCAAGAGAAGTAAATTTCGTATTTGTAATTTTCTCAGTGTCCTGTCTGCTAGATACCATTCCCATTTCCCATAAATATTTCGAGGAGCCCTCGCTACAGTTTCGGACAGTTGGCTCGTGTCCCGGTCGAAAAGGTGTTAAAATTGTGCCACCAAATTGTTTGACCTCTGGGGTTGTTTTTACGACCGTCTGACTTTCGATGGCACATGGACCCCATGGAACCCGGGAACCCCATCCACCTACGATTTCACTGCAAAATGATTACACCGCATTTTGTCGACACCGAAGTTTATGTATTTTTATGAGGCGCGTGCTGGTCGACTTGGAAGGTGGGCAAAGGTTTTTACATCAACGAAGCACGCAATATTCCAGCCAGGGGACTCTAAATACACATATTCCTTTACGTTTACAAAACTGTGAAGAGTTGAATAATTAAAAGGAAATTAAATGGCAAAGAAATGCAGGAGAGGGTTTACGAGAATTCAGTGCCATCTACGGAGTTTATTAATCCATAAAAAACTGATAATAACTTGGGGCTTTAAAAGGATTTTACAAAATCAATTTAAAGATTGGCATGTATATAGAGTTGATGGTAGGACGATTTTTTATGTGAGGTGATTAGATTTGAACTTACTAGGGTGGCTTTGTCCATAATTATTATCGAGTTACCTTAATTAACTTTTAATAGTCTTAAAACTTGATTAGGCTGCAATTCCATGGCTTCCCAAACAGCAAACAATTGGATTTGCGCAATCTGTTTAGGGGGCCTCCCCTGTTGTGTGGACCTCTTAACCCGTGCGGCACATTTAACCCACTAAGCCGGTAACCCAATTTCCACACAAAAACCGACCGAAAACCGAATTTTGCACATCACGCCGCCGCGTACTTCGCCTTCAATTAGCCCAAGAAACTCACGCGCCAAAATTGGCAGTCTGTAATGTTGCGTAATCGCTGGATTACCTGATTGATGGATTGGTCCGAGATCAGAGAGCCACTCGGATACTCGTAGGCTAATTCAATTGCTTTATAATTGAACTAAGGAGGCGCGACGGCCGACTCCGATTCAGTTTGGAGCGCTTTAATGAGCTAACTCCAGGTCCAAAAGCGAACACACACATGCCGCTCAGCTCAGCAGGTTTTTCAGTTTTCGAGCCAAGTTAATAATCTAATGGACACGTTGTAATTTTTTCCATATTCGAAATTGCCCAATAATCGATTCATCCGATTCGATTTGGACTTGGTTTCCAGTTGCGGCCACAATTGAAAATGAAATTTAATGCCGAATTAATGGAGGAGTTTGTTGTGAAGTCTTTCGGGGGAAGTGATGATGCGGTCTTTTGCCCCGATGATGGATTGCCCCCCACGCTAATTAGCCACAGCCCAATCAGACCCCGACTACGACTCCAAATCCAATCAGAAAAACTCCAATTTATTCGAGCTGCGCGCATAAAAAACACATTCATTTCGAGAGCTTAAAATGTGTGTCCTTTGTTTAATTAGTGCACTGAAAAATTAGTCGAAAATAAAACCCTGGCGAAATACTTAAGCGGATTAAGCGGCGATTTATCAAAAGCAATTAAAGATCCCCGAAAATGCCCCGTTCTCGGATTTTGATTCGCGGAATGCGTTAGCGATGACAAATAGTAGCAAAAATGTTGGGCAACAAAATGTTTATAATGCTGCTAAAAGCATGTTTGTATCTCGCAGATACAAATCGCTGATCGCAAATCGCAGAAAGCCAAATGCCACAGTTCGCAAAGTGGGCCAAACAGGCGAACGGGTACAGTAAATGATCGTTTGAGTGAACCAGTTACTTACTTTTATTACACTTTTGAGTACTCACATAATCAGAATTGCTTAGCTTAGTTCTAAGTACTCATCGCAAAAAAGCTTGATATAAAGTGTTATGTGTTTCTATACTGAAAACTTTAATGTTAAATACCTTTCACACTTTTTTATTCAAGCTTCCCTCAAAAAATAAATCAAAATCTTTTCAGTAAATATTTAATGTATAAAGTCTTTGTTTAATCAAGGTTTTTTCTTTGAGGGGTTTATTCTCCGTTGAAATGGCAACTCATTTGCATTGCCTAATAAAACACTCTCGGTCCGCAATCCTTGTCCTTTCCCCAATAAATACACGTTAAGCAGAGCAACTGGTCGGCTATCCAGCGGAGATCAAAGACCGGCAAATATCGGTGGCAAGTGGCGGCTAAGTGGGTCCTGAGTTTTCCAGTCGGGGCTACTAATTACCCTGTGGGGAACCCGCATCGCCATTGCGAGCACCTCCAAAGTGGAGCAGCGAGTCGTGAGGTTCGCCTTGCGCGAAGCGTCGTCAATATTTGTCAAACTGTCAGTTGGGCTGACATTTACGTTTGATCAACGGGGGCAGTGCATGCGGCGAGTGGACACTGTACAGTGGCCACTACTGGCAGTCGCCAGGAGTCGGCGTTTTGTGTTGTCGCTGACACACAGAGAGATAAAAATAAACCGAGGCGAAAAGTAGTGCACGTCCGATTTTCCGCCGCGGAGACACAATTCAAAGGTGACACATTAACGAGGCGAAAACACTGGAGACAGGCCAAGGTGGACTTGGATCTGCGACTGCGACTGGGACTGGGACAAAAAAGTGGGAGCCTTGACGCGTTTTTATTGGCCAACTGATGGGGGAAAGGCGCTTGCTTGGGAGATTTTTATCTGGGAGATACGTTTGAAAAGGAGATGGAAGGAGGTTCTCTTACATTTTATCTGTGATTAATTTATGCATGTACGAGTATTTCGGTATTTTGATTTGGCAGTTTCTTTCAGAAAAATGTTCGAGTATATCCTGCAGTAATTGCAGATATCGGCTGACCTTAAATATTTTTCGCAACGCTGTGCGAAAAACCAGCAATTGCGACTCACCCAATTGGCTACCAGTTTTCTGCGGC